AGTGTTTCCCAGCCCTTGTCCTCAAGGCACTCTACATGTTTTAGATGTATCCCTGCTTCAGTACACCTGGTTTTAGTAGATGTCTGCTTAACAGGTTTTGCTGAAAACCAATCATGTGCATGAGGTGCGTAAGAGCAGGGAAATATTTAAATCATACCGGGCAGTGTTCCTCAAAGAGTATTTACTATAAGGTAGACAATTTCTGATTTCAAGTATTTGATCGATAAACATTTGAGCTGACTTCTCATGCTATTTGAAATTTTATTTCTAAGAAAATGTAAAAATAGCTTTCAAATAAGATGGGTTTTTTTCTTGCCTTTTCACCACAGCCAATCATGAAGAGTTTATATCCAGTGTTATAAAACGGGCTGTAAAACAGACACTTTGATTATGGTGGTGACCTTTTAAACTGCTTTTACTGTGTTGCAATGTATTAGTTGGTGAATCTATCAGTACTAAAACAGCGGTCTCTTAGTGCATCACCTGGAAATTGTGGATCTTCACTTTAACTCTGAAAGTTCCATAAAGCTACCAGCATTTCCAAATTCAACATGTTTCATGATGGGCAATCCTGGCAAGTTTAAAAGGCAGCATGAATGAACTGCAGACATGTCTGAGCATGCCTGGACCTGTCATAGAAAATACAGTTTCCTTTTGAAATGCTTCTCATGTTATCACCTCCTCTCACTTACTTTCAAACTCTTCACTAACACTGGAAAACAGCCCATTTTAAATATCCAAAGTGATGGTTTCAGCATGACATAGCAATGGTTAGTGTGGCACATTCACTGATTGTCAAGACATAGAAGTTTGTCATGCTTTTCACCTTGTCAGACACAATTTAGTCAATTTTGATCAATAGACATATTCTCAGTTCATTTATAGTGTTAAGATGACATTTGTTAGTATTCCTAAATGTATTCCTAATTGAGCACTTGCAACATTTTAACTATCATTACATTTATGTGTTAAATGTTTCCAGACTCCATTACGTTGATGCAGTTAAATATACAAGAATGAAACACTAGTTATCATCCTAAAAGTACCATCCAATATAATATATCAAATTAATGTATTTATTTTATAAATTATATGGTATTTATTATGATGTTGCAACTTGACTTTAAAAAAGCGGAAACCCGGAATACTTTCTTCTTTTTTTTTTTTTGTGGTACAGTTTCTCTTAATCCCATGACTTCAGAGCATTTCATAGCTCAATTGCAGAAATTTGTGAAAGCATTAATGCTTTAAGCAATTTGTCTCAGAGTAAAATTTCTGTTGGATTAGGATATTTTATTGGTATGATATATCATACAAATAAATATCAGAGTAGAATAATATCAGATTATTCTACTCCATTTTATTTGTAGATGACAAAACCATAATTATTCTCTTTTTAGCTTTGGAAACACAATAACCTGAACTGTATTTCCCCAGGCTGTAGCTACAGTGTTCGAGAAAGGTGTGGAGACCCTGTGTGCATCTTACGTCTCTAAGGGCACTGACGTAGCCCAAGAGTTGCAGCTGATCCATGCATCAGTGGCTTTGGGGCTCTATTTGAACAAGAACTCTCCAGATCTTAAAGAAAAAGTCAAGGACGCCATGACTTCCTTCCTCAACAGTCGCGTTGGTACATGGGTTGCTCAACAAGGTGGTTGGGTGAGAGCATGTTTAAGATATTTTTCAGTTGCATATCAACTATTTATCACTTCGAGCCTTTGTTTGACTGTTACACTTCGAATAACGACATTGAATGGAAATGGCAAAAAAAATTACTCCGCACCAGTTATCAAGATTTAATGCATGCTACAAATATTTTTTTCTTTATCTTCCCTAAATACTGACATCCCGTCATTATTTAGGGATGTTTCTGAAATGAACAAAATACAAAGGTAGAATGTGAACATAATCTCTCTGAAATGTCTCATAATTCACTGAATAATGCATTTGCAAGATTTATAGCACCTGCATTTAAATCTCTGACCGTATACATCTTGCTATTTCTCCATTTTAAAAAACCCTCTAGATCTTTCTAATATTCTTAATAATAATAATTGTGATTGCAATACTAAATCCCACACACACAGTCTTTGTTTATTACCACAGATATCTGTTTTATTTCAAACAAAAACACAATTATGTGTGAATAAACATTTTTTCTGTTTTTGTTTCTTTTCAGGATAAAGTGCCAGTCTCCAAGTAAATCTTGCCAGATGAATTTCCATGTAATGAATAATGGCAGCCTTAAAAAGCCAAACATCAACAGCCTTCCACTTTTTGATCGGTGATTTTTTCGGGTTTTTTCTCATGCACACGACACGTGATAATAATCTAAGCCTTCTCATCAGACCATGCCTTTCTTAAAACAAAGAAAACTTGATGTACTTAATGTTCAATTATGAATAAGTTTCAACTCAAACTGTGAAAAAATTACATCAATAATATTTTCATTGCAAACCTCCTAGCAAATATTTTAGGATTGGGAGATTTGATACTGTGAAACTTCAAGTTGAGGGGAAAAATGCAAAGCTTGATACTACAACAACCGTGTTTCACTTTAGACAAAGTTTTCTTTATTCGTAATTGCCATTAATGATTTGAGTTTTCAATTAGGTTATACAGGATTTATTACAAATTAAAGATGGAAATCATTTTGAAACGACAACCCTGGCATTGTAACAACCGTGTTTGTACGTTTTAGACCTGGATGATGTTTTGTAACTGTGATCTCTTAAAAACAGGCAAAATGCAAATTAAGAAAGGAAAGCAACAAAATATTTTTATATTTGTAAGAACATTTTGATATTACAGAGCAACTACTCTACCATCACTGGATCTCCACTACATCTCTACTTGAATTGTTGAAAGATTTCAGTCTTGAGTCAGTCTTTAGTATGGATTGCTATTTTTCTTTTCCGTTTCTTTACGAATCAAATGAATATCTGAAACCTCAATGTCTGCTTTATTTTTATTGTTCATTCTTTGAATTGTCCTAGTGCAAATATTTATTAAATCTTTGCAGATGAGGCAGTTCATGTTGTTCTTTGAACATCAATGATGCTCTCTTCTGGATTGATTTTAGCATTACTTTAAAGTCTTACTTTTCTTGGGATGAGGTAAATTTAAAATGCAAATACTTTAAAAAGTTTTCTGTCTCAATTAAAGGCATAAAGGCACAAATACGGGTTTATGAATCTACTGGCCTTTGGTGTTCAATTTCTTCCTTTCTAACGCTGTTTACAATACAGACAAATGTGTACGTTTTCCACCATTTGTATGTTGTTGATTATGGGTGACTGATTTGGTGTCATTGTCAAATGTGAGGGTTTAATCACTTATTTTACTGGCTGAGCTCAAGCCAACTGTAACAAATGTTAGAAAATGTTTTTGGGGGAGGGCTTTCGCTTGCAGCGTTGTGTTTGTAATAATTAAAATAAAATTATTTTGTGTTACTTTTGAATGATTTGGCATCCTCAACAAAAATGTCATTTATGTATTTTTGACTGAGTACCTTGATGTGTTTGAAGTTCTTGTGAGGATAAAATAGGAACCACTAGCTGTGTCATATGATGTCAGAACACAAGTTCCCAACCCTGTCATTTAGTTTAATAAATAAAACTGACTTATCTAGGGAAGACTGCTGGTGGTTCCCTTTTTTATTTTGTAGTATCTCTAATCCGGACATCTGCATATGAAATTATTCTTGCAGAGTAGGTTTGTGGGGAAAAAGTGTCCAGGTATTTGCATTAAACAAATGAGGTTCCAAAGAAGACTCGCACTAAACTCTGACACACACTAAACTGAAAGGTGTGTGACTTTTACTATGTCTGGTAAAAGACGTACGCCACATTTAAGATTGTCTTTGCTGTTTCAGGGTTGCTTCATCATGCTTTAATTAGTATATCTGGATCCTTCCCTGGTTATTATATTACATTGTGACTCAAGGATGTTAACAAGCTGGATAATTCTACAAAATGTAAAACCTAAAGCAAAAGTTTGTTAATGCCAACATTTTTCATGTAATTGTTATATGAAAAAAAAAAATTAGTAGCACATTTTCTTTGTCGTAAGAGTGGTCTTATATCATGACGTTTGTTTTTCTCTCCCCATGTTCTTAAAACAGTCAAGACATGTTAAGTGACAATGTGTGCATGCATGCCTATGTGTTGCTCATGTTTTCAAATTAACTATAGACTTAGAGTTCAGGCTGGTCACTGAGAATAGATCAATTTAATTACTACAAATTTACTTTAAATTACAATATATTTGCATTTTATAGAATTACAGCAATCAGAATATATCAACCTACTTCAGTCCAGCTTCTTATGTCAGTGGTGCTTTGAAAGAAAGCTAAGGTGTACTCAAGCTACAGCGCCCTCTAGAGTCAAATAATTTACTGTAAAACAGACCCAACATGCATGCCTTTGTATAATAAACTGTCAAAATTTGAACATTGCTTGTTTAGTTACCCAGATTATATTTTCCAGCCCACTCTTTGGTGGGCTAAATCCGGTTTCTGAGAGTTGAAAACTTTACCAATTATTCTGGGCCAAATGTATGTTGAGCTCTTGTGTTTAATTAATCCCAACCAAGATTGCTTCATATTTGGTTCAGGACTGGGTCAGCAAAGTAACCTACCTTGGGTTACTTTTCTACCATGCAATGTTTAGAGTTCACCTTCATCAACATAAGTTATGTTACTTTGTTAAAAAGTCTGCTTATGCATTGCCCACATGGGTGTAATTTTAGGATTCATGCAATCACTGCAGTTCTTCCCGTCAGTATTTAGGGATGTTTCCGAATATTCTCTGAATCATTCTGTTTTCCACAAGTTTGATCCTGGAGAGAAAAAAACACATGGCCCAAATCTTGATAGGTTATTTGCTTTCGCAGCCCACATGATGGCATCAGAATATTTTGACTTCACACCACTGGAATTTTATCATTTGGCCAAACAACATTTATAAATGACTGCTTTGCAGAATAAAATAACAGGTACCTAAAAACAAATAGTCTGTTTATTTCACATGTTTCTGTAAGTGGAAATTGAACTCTTGACAACCAGTAAAATATTTTTTTTTAATGTTTTGTCCTTATTCCTTACTGAAATCTGGTTGCATAAAAAGTGCTTGGTCACAGATATTATATGCAGAGAAGTATGTTGAATTTACAGTCAGTCTACATAGAATACGCACCATAAGCAATATCTTCTCAACACAATATCTTAGAATTACATTCCTGTTAAATGATTCTGCAACTATCCTGTTTATTGTAACATACAAAAAGATAAGCTAATATTTCATCTCTCCACATCTTGCTAGAATAATTCATGAGCTTAATAAGATCAAATATTTTTTGTCCCAAGTAATGTACACCATCAGTATAGCAGCACTTAACAGCTAGGAAACAAAAAAACAAAAGGACAAGATAGAAACAGTTTGTGAGAGAAGTCAAGAAACTGTGAAGACACTTCTGGAGGCAGCAAATACTCCAGGTCTGGTTGGCAGTGGATCGACAAGAAGGGCAACCTATCAGGTAAAGTAAAAATAAAAATAAATACTCCAAGCTGGAACAGAGATCTTTATATAAAGGGCAAACCATGTTCAATATTCAGTTGTGGAGAAAATAAGTTCAGAGGAAAGCAAGTGGAATAAAGAACTGGTTGACAGTGTTTCAGCAGATTTCCTATCCCAAAGCTGTTTCAGTTTAGATTTGGCAATAAAGACCTTTCCATCTAAATGCTTCCTGCCTGCTGTCTCAATGCCCTTCAATGAGCTTTTTTCACAAAACATTAATTATTCACCCTTTGTGAACTGAACTGATCCACTTTGATACTTCCAAGAAAGTGTATCTCCTCCTATTATTTACCTCTAATTTATAGAGGTAAATGTTTACCTCTGTAACAGTGCTTATCTCTAAAACAGTGCTTATTCCAAGCACTGTTCAGGTAAAATCACTCAATCAATTTTATTCATGAATTGTCCACAACTCAGAGAGCTCATAAGATAATCAATAATCAAACTCATAAGACAATCAATAATTAAACCAGTCTGGATCCAAAGCTCTGCCAGGCAGAGACGACACACAGTTTTATGCAAGGATAAGGGATCCAAAGCATGGGAATGAGTTGTGGTTCCCATGTAGCTTGTACATGTAACCCAAATAGCTTTATCAAGTGGGACCATAGAAGAAATAATAAAATACATATAACAATATGTCTAGCAAATTTGACCTAATTGTAATTTTTTCACCACAGCACTTAGTCATTTTAATAATGTTGAACAGAAAGCTGTCCCTGGACTTCGATGTGCACTCTCTTTTACCAAAAAACAATTTCAATTCAAATATAATCTACAAATAAATTATGAAACATAATACAAATCCCTTGGCACTTCATACATATTCCTCCTGTACCAGTGTTTACATCAGTAAATTAACAATTTTGATGCATAACAGTAATAAATTACCCTGCAAAAATATTTGATCTGTTTCCCATTTTATCGTTAGCGCAACAAAGCTGTGTACAACAATGTTGTGCATAAAGGTGAAGTATAAAGAAAAGACAAGATAGTTTTGAATGTTTTTATAAGAAAACATTTCAGTGACTCTGTTCACCTACACAATAACCCTAACCCTGACTGAATACTACACTCAACTACATTTTGCTGGAAAAATAGTAACAAATAGATCGATTTCTTGCTCTACTAATGATCTACATCTGAAGAATCAGACCTTTTCCCATTTCTGCTTTTGGAAATAGCTCACTCTCAATCATTCTCTTGCCAAAGATTCATATTGCATTTACCTTGAGACTTTGACTAGGCCATTAAACCACATAGATGTGTAGCTCCAGCCAAATGTGTGGTGTCAAAGATGCAGATGTTATCATATTATACTTTTCTTCCACATAGATTAAATTACATAGTTTCCAGATTTTTTCAGTTTCAGAGCTGAAAAAAATGTCTTTTTTTTTCACTTTATTCTTTGTGTTAGTTTTTCATTGAAAGTCCCAATAAGAAATATTACCTTTTGTGGTTATAATGTAAGAAAATATGAAAATCTTCAAGGGATCTAAATCAATTTACAAGGCACTGCATGTTTCAATTTGTACTGTATCATCCCACTACATCCTGCAGTTCGCAAAGAATTTTGTTACTGCAGATGAACTTATACAGAGAGACATGAACATGAAAGCTCTGTAATCTCAAATGTTTTAAAAATGTTTTATTTGAACTATCAGTTCTCAACTTATGATAACCTGCACTTCACTTTGAAAGCTCTTTTATGTAAGAACTGAACTGTAGTAAGGTGCTAATACACGTTGATAGTGTCCTTCCAGATTCAGAACTTTTAAGATTCTTGCAGAATAATTCAGTAAATTCAAAGGTTAAATCTGAATATATGTGGTGAGGTTGTATTCTGATCTTAAAACTTTCCAGTGCAATGTAGCAGGGCAATAAATGCACAGACATTGAAGGAAAGTAATCACATGGACACATTATTATATTAAAACTGTGCAGCATTTGAAATATACTCAGTCTTGTTAGGTTAGAAAGCTCAAGAGAAAGTTTTTCTTTTCTCTGTAATACTTGTGCAAAAGCTGTACTTGTGTATAACAGGTTTCTACTAAGAAGCAACTCTAAAATACAAACTCTAGATTTGGTTTTATTTCTTTCCTCCATTCATGCTTAGAAGCCCCTCACTTATTCACCCACTGTCTGCCACATAACAGAATCCTGTTATGCATGCCTTTAGAGAAAAACACAACTACTGCCTGTCTTAACATGTCATACAGACATCCATGGAGAAAATAATGAAAAAAAAGTAAGAAAATAAATCTGTTTAAATTGTGATTCTTCAAAATGTCAGTGCAAATAATGCATTACAAATCCAAAACCCCTCAACATTTTTTCTGGCTGGTGAAATAAGAGGTGCTAAGAGGTCAGACTTCCTGCTCTTTGCAAACAACAGCTGTGAATTTGTCACTGCACAGCTGTTCCCTCAGTGAGATGAATCTTTGACAGTGTCTCCTACCAGCGCCTATATGAGTTAGTTACACTGAATTCTATACATAATATTCGTGTCAGCAGTCATATTTTACCATGTGCATAATGTACAGCATCGATTATGATTCAGTTTACATGAGCAACACTAATTAAAATATCCCTAAAATTAATTAAAAAGACATGACTGTATGTTCACATGAATCAAGAGTAAACTTTGAAACAGTGAACGGCCAGCCCGAGTGCGCAGTGGGGATGAAAGGACTCATTCAAACAGAGCTGAGAAGATGAAGGAGCACCAGCTTTCTTTCAATGCATTGATCTTTAATTAAAACTCTGATGTGGCTGCAGTTCTATGACCAATGTGTTTGTGGGTTGTAAGCATTGTGTCCACAAACATCTAATTAAACTCAAGAGTTATTAGGTAGGATTAGTTATTTTGTCAGTCAAATGGTCTCAGACCCCAGCAATACTGTTTCAGATATTTTCTTAATATCTATTTTTGGGGGGGTAGATAGGAGGAGGGCATGTTCATCTAAACACTCTGGAACTTTAGTCAGAACTGTTGTAATACCCATCCGGCACCACAAGGTGGGGAAAACATTCACTTTCATAACATCAAGATTCCGCACAAGATTCTGAACAGGCCTGAAGCCAGGCTCGGCTAAAAAGCAGTGTGGTTCCTATCAAGAACGTTTTTTATCTTACATTTGAAGTTTAATGTTAAAGCAGTCTAACAAAGCGTAACAGAGGTGTGATACACAGATAAACGATTTCACTCTTGTGAATGTCAAAGATGTCAAATACCATAATGTTTGCCTCGGTGTGAATGTTTCCAGTAGTCTCCTGGCATCTGGTCCACATTTAAAACTAATTTTTCACAATTTCAGATTTTGTCTCCAAAAACTATGTTCCCTATAATGACAGACCAAATAATAAATCCCATATTTTTTTATGGTAAAAGAAATTCAAACACTTGTTTCATGTTTCATTTCTAACTTTTCTTTACCTTCAAAGTTATTCTCTAATCAGTTGTTTTTTCTAAAAAAGAATTTAATAAAATATTGAAGTGACAAAATGTGGATAATTTTAAGAAATTTTAATACAGTCGGAATGAGTTTGAATTTCAATTTTACTGTAATATTAATAAAGCCAGAAGTTTTGCTAAAGATTCTGATTTGATATTTTTACTCCAGGTCAACAGAGAACACACCCAATATCGTAAACCTTCTTAAAGCACCAGACGTCATTTCAAAGCTTTCTCTTCAGTCATAACAAGTTCACCAGAGTCATCCAATGCTCAGTTCCTTTTTGTCCGTAAGGCCACAAAATGAAGCATTTTAATGAAGCAAAGATTTCAGATGAATAGACTTGAGCTCTTTCAGATGAAAAAGGCCGTGAATTGTAATTTTAGTCAACGAATACGGTACACAATGCTATAGTACCACATGTGCTACACATTTGCACTTACTGATTTCAGTTCAAGAGATTGGTCATAAAAGCCCCGCTTTCTCCGTACCCTTAACGTCACTGGGATCTGCAGCTCCTTGAGCATCAGGTCTCTCACTTTCTGTAAACAACTACTGTAAAAAGTGTCAGTAACACAATAGCACAATTAGTTCCCATAGGTCAAACGTCGTCATCGTCATCATCATTCTGTCTGAGCCTCGTGTCGCGGCTCTTCTCTCTCTTGCTCCCTTGCTGAGGAAGGCGACCGATGGGGTCCTGACACAGCATGTACTGTTTCCAGATTTTCTGAAATGCTGTGCGGAATTTCTTGATGCGGAAAGCGTAGACGATGGGGTTGACGGCTGAGTTGCCATGGGTGAGAATGATGGCGACGTAAAGGAGGGACATCGGCATCTTGTAGCCTGGGAGGAAGAGGGTGATGCAGTTGAGAATGTGAAGTGGGAGCCAGCTGACTGCGAAGAGGAAAAGGACGAGGGCGAGAGACTTGGCTAATTTAAGTTCTTTCCCAAAGTATCTTCTGGGATCCATGTGGCTTGCTGTCACCTTCACAGACATTAAGAAAATCACAAAACATTACTGTAAATGTGCACTACCTTGATGAAGCAACAATGAGGTTGATCCTTTTTTTGAAACAATCTGATTGATGTTACACTTGAATTTCTTTTTTTTAATCTATTCTAACCCTCAAACTTTTTCCCATTTTGTGACAGTACAGCCAAAAACTTCAATGTATTTCATTTGGGTTTTGTTGGGGTCACACAGCACTGTGTGACCCATTTCTTAAAAGTGAAATGAGAATCGACCAATTGGAAAACTACCAAGCCATTGACAGGCAAGGAGAAAATTATTCAGAGAAGCAGTCAAGAAGCCCATGGTAACTCTGGATGAGCTGCACAGATCCACAGCTCCAGTGGGATAATCTATTGATCCAGACAACTATTAGTTGTGCAAATTTGACCTTTATTAAAAACTGGAAAGAAGAAAGTCATAGGAAGTTTTATTTAAAGCTTGCACAAGGCATACTGAGAGATGAAAAACCCCATTAGATCCTGATAATTCCTGTTAGATCCTGTCCCCCTGACCATGCTCCTTGTGCTTTTGTTTGTCCCTGATGTCTTTTGTTTGTTCTCCCCTGGCTGCCTGTATTCCCTGAGAATTTTGGAGATTTTTTTGATCTCTTTTCATTAAACACTTATTAAGATCCATGCTCCCAGTTCCTATCTGCATTTTGGACCATCCAAAAACTCATTCATGGTGACATTTTTTTTTTCAACAGAGACAGAGTTGAGGGGAAGATAGATGAAGCTGAATGTTGGGCAAGTAAACTTAGTAAAGCATGAATGTTTGAATCTGTAATGTGACAATATGTGGAAAAAGAGTAAGGGTTTTTTGATTTAAGAAAAAAAAAATACTCAACAAAATATTCCTGCATGAATAATCAAGCCTTACCTTCTTATTGAGCTGTCTATGGATCATGTAGAAAATCTCCACATAGATGGCCAGCATGAGCAGCAGAGGCGGCAGGACCCAGCCAAAGAAGTTAAAGTAGACCATGTAGTCCATGCTGATGACTGTCTCAAACTCGCAGGTCACCACAAGCTCTTCAGTGGTCACGGTGCCATTTTTAAGGAGAAACTGCAGGTTATTCCAGCCAAACATTGGCGTGAGGCCCACTATGATGGACACCAGCCAACACAATAATACGGCTGTCCCAGCTCGCCGAGGGGTCACCACTCGCTTGTAACTGTGACAAAAAAGAAGGTGAGAATTGTACTCAAATGATTGTACCCAAGATATACCCAACTGTTGTAATTTCTACAAGTTCATTTTCGTCTCAGGTACTTATAAAAACAGCCCAAGCACTGTTCCACTATTATCTAGCAATCCCAGCCAAGCCATGCTCTTCACCAAGCAACCCAAACAGAGCTCCAGCACGTTTGGTCAGCTGGTTTTACAGCTGTACAATGACTGCTGGAAACGACAAGTGCTTTTTTATGGATGCATTCTTGCTGCATCCATAAACCACTTGCTGCATTCTTGATGGTCGTGTAATTGCACATCTGCACATTTTTGGGGGTGTAAACATTGAGTTGGGGGAGCGGAGGAGGCGTGGCCACCAGCAGCTGATTTAAAGTGACGAGAGGCTCTAAAGCAGATCATTCTGATAGGAGCTCAAAATAGGCAGAATTTACCAGCCTAAAATGTCTTTATCTAACAATGACTTTGTATAAAAAATGTAATGAACATGTTTCATATATCCCATACATCGACCCTGACCTGTTGAATGAAGCATAATAAGTCACCTTTTAAATCAGAGTGAAAGGTTATGTGTCCATTTATCCAGTGCAATTTTGAATCTATCTATCATGTAATTTTCACTTAATAAAAACAGCAATTTGACACTTTTGTACAATTTTGAGATCCACTGTGATTTTTTTTGGGTGTGGGAAAATTTGCCTTGGACTGTAAAACAAATTCTTGACCTCTTAATTTAACAACCTTGGAAGACAAATAGCCACAGGAATTTGTTTTCACTATTAAAACATTTTCATTTCAGTGACAAAAAAGGATATGAATATTTTAGAGCACTCTGTCTCAAACTGCAGTCTCTGGACCGCTGATCTTTCTTTGATGCTCACAATTCTCTACTCAGACAACAACAGTTATTTTTACTTAGTTAAAAATGACTAAATTAATTAAATAAAATAGATAAATAAAATTGCTAGAAAGCAGTGGATAATTTTATATTTAATGGAGCAGAAGAGAATCCTTGTTTTTGGCAAAGCAACTCATGTCTTTACTTTTCCTTTTGTTGTGTTTCTAAATTGCAAATATTCCTAAAAATGTTATTAATCTGCACAACATTTGGTGTTCAAGAACAACTTCCTTTTTTTAAATTTAAAGTCCTGCGTGATCCTGCATGAGCTTGCGCTTTTTTATTATTCATCTGTGCTAAAAAGGAAAAAATTGACAAACATGAGTACCGTACATATTAGGAGCAATAAGGAGTATTTCTCCTCCTTATCACAGCTGCATGCTGTCTGGATAATCTCACTTGGCCAAAAACAAACTTCTGAAAAAATGTGTTATTTATCTTTTTCAACACTTGTCTTCCTTGACAAGGAGTGAACACATTCACAAGACAAAATAATTAAAGGATGTTAAAAGAGATTGTGGCTGGAGGAGGACTACTCAAATATATATATTTTTTTAACTCCACAAGTGGAGCCCAACCCTTGGAGCTGCTGGTAAAGCTGCTGCTCTCTGGCTGCATACCAATAAGCTCACCATCAGCCAAAAAAAATGGCTGTCTAGATTCTAACTGTTCTCTGTCCATCACTGATTCTCTTCAGGGTTTCCAGTTGTTGTGTAGCACCTGTAAATCCTTTCCAAGCTCACCAGCAAAGCATGAGAAACAAATTTCAAACCTCAGGCCAACCTTATCAACAAATACAAACACCTCAGCTATAAAAAGCAATCAGTGCTTAAAGCGTGTCCCTCCACAGTACCAAGGGAGGCACGAGGAGGGGGAATCAATTTCTGGTTCAAGTTATGGCTAAATAAAATTCATTCAAAACTGAAATGTGAATGTGATTGAAAGACTACATAGATCTTAGATGGCATGAAGATAATTTTTTAAAATTGCGTACATGATATGGGCACAAGTTTATGCAATCAACCACTAACAAAGATATTAGTTATTTAAGTTTTCTGATGTCAATACGTTTTCAATTTGTTGTGGAATTTGTTTGTATAATTTCCCAACGTATCCTAAGCAGGCAGAGATGTCCAGCAGAGCCCAGAACAGTTAGACCATCAGTAATCACATAATGGCCAATAAATTAGAAATGTTTCCTGATTAATGTCACTTTAACTTGTACTGATGTCCTTTTCCAGAAAGAGCCGGACTGTGCACAGGCCCATTTCCTTCCATGTGTGTGTTGGCTTGCTGGCTTGACAAATTACACAGTCTAAGAAGCATCCACCGTGAGCATATTGACCAGTCATGCATTCTCTTACAGACCCTTTTACTGGCTGATTGTCCAGTGGCTCAACATTGGCAGTTCTATAAAAAATATACGAATATGTGAGGGCAAAATATTATTAGGCACCAAGCTTTAAAATCTTCTCCGAAAATCATTTTGATAAATATAGACTCTTTTCATCTGTATTTATGAAATAGGCAGTACTATGAAATAATTTTTAGCCTCTACCTTGTACTTTTTAGATGATATTGAAGCACGAGAGTTGTAAAACAATAGTGCTGATCTGAAGTTGTGCTTTGTTATCTGTTTATTTTTTTATGTAAGGCTTTTAATTGTGTGACTGAGCCGAGTTTTGAAGCAAAGCTTAAAGGTTTTTGTGATTTAAATCTTTCCTTAGATTTCTTGTGCATGAACGATATTAGAAAAACCTGTCTTAAGTTCGATATAAAGTCTATCGACTGGGCTAAAGATTATGGAGATGGCAAGAAGGCATTCCATCCTCAAAGATTAATAATTAACATCCCCGCAAAAACATCATGTTGGTCAATTTTCCATGAAATAGGGGCGTATAAACATAGACAGAAAGATTACATCTTATTTTTAACTGACTCTGCTTGTTTTATTACCTTTTCATGGGCTACCTCTCATTTCCAATCAGAAACAAACTTCTAAGAATTTGATTAATTTAAAATCTAAATTTGTGATTAATGTGGATTCTAATGTAAGACGTGAAATCAGATTATGTTTTAGTTAAAACAACAACAACAAAGAAAAACATAAAATAAAATGAAAAAATCCAAAGGCACCCACTACACAAAGCTGCAGGAGTAAAAGGAAACCCTGGAGGGAGAATCCTCAGCGCGCTTATAGGTTCAAGCAGACACAAAGCCTCCAGACCAGACACATGAGACAATGTATTTAGAAACTATAGTGAAAATTCACCTTTAGGCCTACCTCATGGGTATTTTGACTCTCAGGTAGCGATCAATAGCGATGGCCAGCAGCGCCAGGATGGAACTTTGTGTCAGGACGAGCACCGTGCAGGCGAACAACAGGCAGCTGTAGAAATGCGTCTGGAGCCCGATGCTGATGGTTATGGCCAGCGGGATGACAAGAGCCCCGACCGCAATGTCAGCCAAGGCCAAAGAGACGATGAAGCAGTACGTGGTGTCTCTCAGAGACCGGTTGATGCGAACAGCCCAGACGACCATCACGTTGCCGATGACCGAGGACACGGCGATCACCGCCTCCATTCCGATGTAGAGAGGCAGAGCCGAAGTCATGGTCACAGACGCCCGGTCGGAGGTGCGCTCAGCGTGAACACGTCGAAGGAGAGCCCGCTTTGAGTTTGTGGGCATCGACCGAGACACCCCTGCTTGAGCTTCGCATTTTCTTTTTCTTTCTTTTTTTTTTTTTAAGTCACACAGAAGAAGAAGGGGAAGAAGAAGAACTCTGACGCTCGGAGGATTATTTAGGATGCAAGTACAGGACGCGCAGTCTGGATGCGCGCCAGACGCAAAACTTCATCGGTTTCCGAGAAAGAAGTGACCTCCCCTCCACTCCACCCCGACGCGCCGCGTCGGCTGGCTGAGGAGCGGGACGGAGCACCGGAGAAGAAAGTGACTCATGGACAGATCCCCAAAGAGCGGATTAACAGATGTGGCATCTTAAACACCCGGTGTCCAGCCCCGGAGACCGAAAAAAGTGTCTGAGTCATTTCAGTAATTGCGTTCTGTTTTTATACCTCAGTCTTTAAAAAGAAAAAAAAAATGTTTTGTCTTTCTCCTCTTTATGATCCTCCTAAATGAATATGATGACGCTCAGATGGAGAGACCACATTATTAGAAGTCCTTCTCTTGTTTTGTGCAAAGTCACATGTCTTACTGAAACTTTCCCTCTGTGGGAGTGGACAAATTAAGTCTTCGGGAGGATTCACATGGCAGGTGCATCCCACTCTAAAAATGCATGATCGTGTCAATTATTTACAAGCAAAGCATTTACTTTTCCCAGGAAAAACTATACATCTGCCTTGGATGCTTCATCCTTTTAGTGCTCTGATATATACGTAGGCTACAGCGGCCGATTGCATAAATATTCACACCCCTTCAATGCTATGAGCCTCATTTAAAAGAGAACAAACTAAGGAAAGTCAGCAGCATTTTTGTGCGTGAAATGGAAGTTACATGTTGATGTGTGTGAGTTCATCATAAATACTCATAGGTCCATCTTTAAGAAATGGTTGTAGGGCCACCAAGACACCTGCAATACAACCACTGAATGAGTCAAAAGCTTTGGTGGCTCATTCTTGGGTCTAATGAAACCACACAAAAAAAAGTATTTTTGGTAATCACAGTGCTGTTTGGGCAATACAGAACATTTTATATCTCTAAAAACTCACCATCTCCATCGTAAAGCAGGATGATGGCAGCATCATGCACTGAGGTTGCTTGGTAGCAGGCACTGGAGGTTCATCTAATGTGAAACATCCAAGGGGGTGAATAAAAAAGGCCATAATTAAACACAAATGTAATAATAATAAATTTTTTTATTTTTATTTTTTTTAACATTAAAATGTTGGATTATTGCCGTAATGCAAGAAAACACTAGAGAACCAAAAAACTGAAGGGTTTGTTTGCAAATACCAAAAGGAAGTAGGAAGAGACCGAGATTCTGTTCAGATCATCCAGACATTAGGGTGTTTTTGACTGGAGACTAATGAATTAAACTATTTGATTTAAAATCATTGTATAATATTATAATGACTACATGTATTAATTACAAAATTTCAGGTTTCACCTATTCATGCAACATATTATTGCCATGCTGAAATGATATACAGTAGATAAATTATTTTCATTTGAAATGATGAATTAAAATACACCACTTTTGGTATTCTATGTGTCAAACCATCAGACTTCCAAATGGTGTATAGGAGCTTTCTTTATTGTGTGATGGATGGGGTGGAAGACTTCAAAGCCTGTGAGGGCTAAATGCTCTGGAGAGGATGTACAATAAAAGGACAGGAGATGAAGACAGATGGTCATGTGTTTTATGTTGCAGAGAGACAATAAGACTGTCTTGGACAACATGATCTGGGATATCACTAGAAAACAGGTGCACTCTGCTGCAAGACAGATGCACAGAAATAAACATAAAATGCAAATGAGAAGCATATGAATTAGAGTACATAAAAGTCTGCTGGAACATGAAGAATGGGTACATTCACAAATTCATCTCAATTTTCTTTAACGAGGGCCATCTTGGGCACACTTTGTGACATTGCTCCCTTCCCTCACCTTCAAGACAATGACTATCCTGAAAACGATTAGAGTTTGGTTGTTTTTTTTCTGATTCAAGCCTAAGCACTGGAAACCCCAAAGAACTTTCTTATTGAGCGAAAAGTATACACAAAGATTTTTGAAACGGGTGCTGTTGAAACAGTCTTACCTGTTATAATTGTCTACAACAAATTCACAGTTGGAGAAAAGCCAAGACCATGTCAGACCCAAAAGCGTCATGGCAGCTAGCTGTTTTGTGAACCTTTAAAACACCGGATGAACACTATTTACATTAAGCCAGTATTAGCTTTCACAGAAAATGAAAGTGGAATACATCATCAGTGATCTTTCTGTGTGAAGCAGACGCTAAAAATAAAACATGTAAGTGTTTTCTTCCTGAGTAGCTTACTAACAGAAAAGTGAATACATGTAAACATATTAAAATCTAAAGTAAACCATTTATTTTATTTTTTGCTTTTTACTCAAGTAAATGAACTTCTTACAGATTGCCTTCTCTGCATTCTCTGTTTATAAGAGAAAATCTCCTCTTGTAATCACTCATTGGACTCTCCATTAATAACAGTTCGATTTATACTCAAAAACAGAACGATGCAGTTTCTTAGTTAGCCAAGATGACAAAACAATTCTAGATGATTCAATACGAGTCCTTTGGACTTATTCTTTTGGGTGTAAAAGTAAAAATTACCTAATCAATCCAATAGATTAAGAAATGAATTAATGGCTCTATTAGAATGAATAAAGCCTTTTGAAAGGTAAGTGAAATATCTTCATGTTGTTGTTCCTTTTATGATGGTGCTTTGGTCTTGACCTCTGCTTTGGTCTTGACCTCTTATTTTGTAAATACTTCTTCAAACTTCAAACCACCAAATTTGCATGGTTGTTTAGACAAAAGCTGCCGATTATCACAGGAATTGGAGGTGAGAGGTGGGATTAGAACTGTGTCAAGCCATCATCTAAATTAAAGTGGAGTTTAGGCCAAAAATATTTTAAATGCAATTTTTTTTTTACACTGCCTTACTTTTTAAATGATAATTTGATTGGAAGTGCTTGACAAGTTTCATTCTTTACATAAACTCACTGTATCTTTATTATTTAGACACCTTTCTTTTACCAGGTCAGATCCAGATTTGCTTTCAGATTTGACATAACTAACTCTTCAAGGTCTAAAAAAGTGTCTAAAAAAGTCATTTGAGATTTTTTGTCAACATTGACATGGTTGCAACACATTGTTGCAGTAGATCTGTTGGCTGGACCTCTACTATATGAATGAAGAGGGTTTTTTTGTTTGTTTTTTTTACTGTTGAAACCAGTGGATTATAATGAATTCACTGTATGTTGTAATCATATAAAAGAAGGGACTTGATCAGCAGCAACACCCAGGTAGACTGTGAGATTCAAATGATGCTAAGTTGGTACTAAGGGGTGCAAAGTGCAGCAAGATCATTTCTGAGATCAGCATTTTAAAATTGTTGCCTCAGTTTCCTGTTTTTAGCAGGCAGAAGTGACATCCGGTGTGGTCTATTCTGATAAGCCAGTTTCCATCGAAGTCTATGTGTTTCGCTTTGAGCAGTGTGTTCTGCGTGTTTTAGTCGTATAAAGTATTTTTTCTGAGCAACAATTATCTTTTCTCTCAGACCAGCCTATTTGGCAACAATTGTCCCATGCTCAAACTATAAATTCTCCTCCTTCCCATTTCTGAAGCTTGACTGAAGTTGAGTAAGTCATCTTGACCACATTGTAATGCCTAAATGTGATGTAATTGGTTGATTGATTGTTTTGCTTAATATCTGATAAGATGTAACAAACAGGGGGATTATGAGTGCATTTAACATGCAGAAATCTAATTTCTTTTGCATATTTTCACAGTTTACCTTTATGTCCATTGTAAATAATCATTACCTTCTGCATAGTCACTGCCCAATGACGGTATGAGAGTGCCAGCAGTTCAACGCTTCATAAAATAATTTGATTAAACCACAGCCAGGTTTTTGGTTTTGGTGATTTTGGCTTCATGAAAGATTTGCTCTTTTTGTTGAGTTTTTCTACTGCAGGTAGGATTTCATTGTTTTTTAGCCTTTTTAAATTTTAATTCAACATGCACAACATCTTCTCCAACCATCATGAGTGCTTTTTTACTGCTATGATAAATTAGTTAGGCAGTTCTGGCTTGACCTGCCTCAAAGTCTTCAGTGACCTTAAAGTATTAGGTGCAGTGAAATTTTTAACTCAAAAATGTCAGAACCATGACCTTGTCTTGTCCTTAGAAATGGGTGTATTCAAAAATAAATAGTAGGAATGCTTGAATCGCTTCAGAGAAAATAAGTTTGCTGAAACACAGAGGAAACAGGGACTCAGAGGACATACTGCCATGCTCTCATGTTCATCATCGCTTTCATGTTCAAAACCTTTGTCAGTGTTTGGTGTTTTGCTTTTTAAATAAAGCTGGTTTGGCCTGACTTAGCAAAGAGCTCTTCAGCGCTGCCAGTTATCACATCGTGCTTGTTTTTAGGCTTTGAAAGGAGGAAAAGTCATACATGCATGGGGAGAGTTAGCAAATTTCACACAGTCAGTTCATAGCCAGGATATGAACAGAGGATTTTCAAACTGGAGAAATAGTATTTGTAATGATTGTACTGTCTGCAGTCGAATGCAGCTGAACGTTTTTCTTTCCATTTGCCACGTCTTTCTCCCATTTGCAATTTTTTGTGCTGTTTTCAAAGTGTAGTCTGCCTACAATCTCTGAATGTTGTCATGTTCAGGCTTTTGCATAGAGCTCTAACATTGTTTCTCTATATTTAGTTGCACAGTCCCACCTTTGCTTCAGAATGTAAATCTTCATGTGAGAGTCAGCTAAACCACAGCTGAGTGGACTTATTTCACTCAGTCAATATTCCCCCACATTTGAATAATTTTTGTTTTTGTCGCTGAAACAACTATCTTCTCAGGATGAATGGTCATTGCAATGTGATTTATGTAGTAGTGACCTTCTGCACAAGATAAATGGTGTTGTTTAGCAGGGAAGACTGAAACAATCCTTCAATTAATGACATATTGGCTTTTTTTCAGAGAGAAGTGCAGCCGAAACAGGAAGAAAACTCTGGATGATTTAATCTTGGACTGGCTGATGTACATTTTCTAGCATGCATTAGATAACTTTATCATTATTTTGTCAATCTAGAGCAAACTGTGGTCTGTGGTGTTCAACTAGATCCTGTGGTGTTCAAAAAATTCGCTTGATTTGAATCTGAACATATGTTTTTTTTTTATGCTAGTCCAAGTGTTCACCTCTTAATGACTCAAGAGGTGAACGTAAAGGAATGAGAGCACAATCATGACTACATAAGGGTAATAAAAACAGGAACTGAATCACATCCTGAGTTATACGGCTGACTTGAGCAAGAGTGAGTCTCTGTGTTCAAAGCTGATGCAGTCATTGGCGATCCTAAAATCTGCAATGTTTTTTTATGGGCTTTTTTGTTTTTATTT